ACAGAACAGACTGACAAACAGAACTAGTTAGTTTTTCTCCCTTGGGACTGTGAGGAAGGTCACCTTAAACCCTGAGCCCTGAATCCTGACTCAAGGGATGTGATATATGGAGCTAGGGTTTTTTTTTGTTTTGTTTTTTTTTTGGTTGGTTTGTTTGTTTTTTTATTTCTAGGAGAGAGAGAGAGAGAGACAGCGTGAGCAGGGTAGGGTCAGAGAGGGGAGGGGGGATACAGAATCTGAAGCAGGCTCCAGGCTCTGAGCTGGCAGTCAGCACAGAGCCCGATGTGGGGCTCGAACCCACAAACCGTGAGATCAGACCTAAGCAAAAGTCGGACGCTCAACTGACTAAGCCACCCAGGTGCCCTGATGGAGCTAGGGTTTTAAGAGGGATTTTGGGAAACTGTGAGTTCAACTCCCCACTCAGGAGAAAGACACATCCAAACCTCTGGACTATCTCTAGGCTGTTTGGCTGTCTCTAGGTGAAATTATCTCAGTCTGAGTCAGAATTCACTGCCTGCCTCCGGCCTATAGGGGGGCTTCTGACTCCTTCACCCCCAAAGTGAGAGATCGTTTTTATGCTCTAGCTTCCGGTTCTAGCTTCCTGTTCTCCCTCTCACTCCTGGGAGCCAGGACAGACTTTAAATCCTGCATGGTCCTGAGAGCAGTTTGGGTGTGGACAGATTCATGAAGGGAAATTGCTGGCAAGGCCCTGGAAGGTTGTAGCAAAGCAAATGCCCCAGATGAGAGCAGGCTGAGAGAGACAGGAGGTCAGTCCAGGCAGGAAAGGAGAGCGGACTCAAGGATCTGGAGGAGGGTTTAATAAAGGCCTTCTTTATAAACGTGTGACTAGGGTGTCGGGGAACCCCGAGGGGGAATGCAGTGCCCAGGGACCAGGAAGGTGTGGGGAGGGGTTGTTAGCCTTGTCATCCTGGGCCTATTTGGGCAAAGAGAGGGAGGGTGGACTGCATCTGAAAGGAGAGGTTGACAAGGGGAGGGGAGCCAAGACAGAAGCTGGGGCAGTTAGAACCAAATGGAGGAAGAGCTGCACAGGGTGGGTGGGGGAGGCGGGGTATGGTAGAAAAGTAAGCACCTTGACCTCACTCACCTCCCCCTGCCAAGTCTTTCCTCAAGGGCTCCTCACTGGCCACACCCAAAGAGATTGCCGGAAGCCAAGTGAGTCCCTTGGTGCCATCCAGACAGCTCAGCCCCTCAGGCCACCAGCAGGAGAGAGGAGGGCAAGGGTAGTGTGCCGCTGAGTGTGTGGGGAGTGCAGAGCAGCTCAGGAGTGGAGGCCTGGGGAACTCTGCAGAAGTTCTATCACTTTGACTGGACTGTTCCCTCCCAGCTTCATTGCTTCATTGCCCTTATATATCACAGCGACCGTCAGTGTGAGAGGGAAGACATCGGAACCCAGTTCTCTGCGCTCCCCATTAGACAGATGAGGAAAAGTAAGGCTTGGCTGTAACACCATACTGCCTCCCATGGGACAAGATACCGATTTGCAAGAGCAAGTTCCTTCCAGATACACACCCGTCAATGGGCTGACAGGTGTCTCAGACTCAGGAATCACAGAAACGCATCTTGCAGGACCGATGATGCATGTCCCCCTCACTGGGCTAAAAGAATAACAGCAGCTCGTGAAACCCCATCTGGTTATGGTGCACGTACCAGAAAATGTGGCCATCTCTTCCATCGTTTGGTTTTAGTGGAGATGGTTTTCAAATGGAAGCAATCTGTCTTTCTCATATCTGGGAATAGTGGTTATTAACTATGAGGAAACTGTCTCCAAGAGTAGGTCAATTAATTACTGCATTTTAAAGCTGCTTCGTGAAAAACAGCAATTAATTTCACTGCATTTCTGAGTAGTTCTTCTGCAAATCTTATCCATTTGAAATCACTGTTATTATGGGCGGATATGGAGACTTGATTATTTCTGAGAGCTTTATAGGAGATCATATTCTCTTTCTTTCTTTTTTCTTAAGGATTGTGGGGATAGAATTAGGTTTTAATTATCACTGGCACCTTTTCACTATTGGAAATGACTTAAAACAGGAAGAATATACACCAAAAGGAGAGTTGATAAATATTCTGAAAGACTATTTATCTAAACATATCTTCAAGTCGAAATGCTATCTGATAAGGAAAAAAAGAATCCAAATATAAAATGGGACATTTCTGTTTACTCTTAATATTCTTGCACTTTTCTGGTCTAATGGGTTAGGAATTCCCTAAGCTTTTTTTCTGGGTGAGAAATATCAAAGGGACTATTTTCACCTGTTCCTTGACCTTCTACCTCAGCCTCAGCTGCATTATCTTTAACTGGTTTGGATGTTGCTGCCTTCCTATTTGGTTTTGCAAGAGGCCACAGGGAACTTGACTGGCTTTCGTCCAAAGGGCAGTGAGCGAGAGTTTTTCATTGCTGTATATTATCTGGCCATGGGAACTGGCCAAATCTGGGTTTAGGGACTAAATATCAGTTGGGCATTTCATGCTGACCTTGCCAGACCTTACTGAGGGTGTCTGATTTCAAGCAATTCTTATAGGTACAGACCAAGGTTTCTCACCCTCAGCACTTTTAACATTTGCGGCTGGGTACTTGTTTGTTGTGAGAGCTGTGTTGCGCATCATAGAATGCTTAACAGCATCCCTGGCCTCTACCTGTTAGATGCCAGGAGCAGCCATCTCCCCTCAGTTGTGATGATCAAAAATGTCTCCACATATTGCTAAGTGTCCCCTGAGGGGCAAAATCATCCTTAATTGAGAACCACTGGTACAAATACAACTATTTGTGGTTATAGAGAGATATTGAGAGGCTTTAGGTAAATATACATGGGCATATGTATACATAGCTCAGTAATAAGGGTTATGTTTTTGGAAAGACTGTGTATTAGTGTTTTCCAGAGGAACAGAACCAGTAGGAAATATATACATATATACATACATGTGTATGTACATACATGTGTATACATATATAAACTTATATATGTATAAACCCATATACACATCCATCCATCCATCCATCCATACATACATACACACACACAGTTGCCCTTTGAACAATACAGGAATTAGGGCCCCATCACCCTGCACAGTCGAGAATCCTCATGTATTTTTGGCTCCCCTCAAACATTTCATACCTACTGTTGAACCAGAAGCCTTACTTACAACGTAAACAATTAACACATATTTTGTATGTCATATGCATACTATATTCTTACAATAAAGTAAGCTGGGGAAAAAAGGTTAAGAAAATCATAAGGAAGAGAAAATAGATAAATTGTACTGTATTTATAAAAGAAATTTCACTTGTAAGTGGATCTACACAGTTCCAGTCCTTGTGGTGTTCAAGGGTCAACAGTATATGATTATAGCAATTGGCTCTGTGGTTTTGGAAGCTTAGAAGTCCCACAGTCTGACATCTAGTTCTTTGGAAGCCGGAGGAGGAGGAACACCAGTGTCTGTGGCATGAGGAAAGGGATGTCCCAGCTCAAGCAGAGAGCAGATTCTCCCTTCTTCTACCTATTTCTTTTACTCAGGCCCTCAGCAGATGGGATGAAGCCCACCCACCTCTGTGGGAAGGTCTTCTTTACTTAGTCTACTGGTTCACATGCTAATCTCCTTTGGAAAGCTCACAGACGCACCCAGAAAGAATGTTTCACCTCCACTCTGCATCCCTGAGCGCAGTTGCATTGCTACATGAGATGAACCATCACACCCTGTGATGTGTCTTCAGGCGCATCTGGATTTCGGTCCAGGCTTTGTCCAGAAACAACCTCTGGGATCCTTCCTTCTCTCTAGATGCTGACCTCATAAGGTTTTGGTGAAGAATAGATGAGCAAATGTGCGTTGAGTGCTTGCCCCTGAGCCCAGCACCTGGGAGGCACCCCAGGAAAGCGATTTCCTCCCCACATGAAGCAGCAGTCAGTACTACATGGACTGATAGTTGCACTGGAAACAGAATAGTCATTCCATGCGCTGATAAATGCTTCTATCCTCTTTGCTCTGTGTCCCCTGCAAGAGATGTCTGTCCTTGTTTCGTGTCATATACTAGTTTGTCATTTCCCATAAACTTGCTTTTCTTTAAAAAGTAAGTATGTAAGCAACACACAAACACATTGTCATTGCAGAAACTTCAGATGCCAGAGGGAAAACTTTGGCATTCGTTGCCATTTTTACCCCAAGGCTCCCCCCAGTTCCTGAAGCAGCCACGGGCATCAGATTGAGAGATGTCTTTCTAGGCCTTTTCTTGAATTTTTATACCATTATCACTTTGCATGTGTAAACGTACACATCTTTATCTTGTACAGACTGATGTGTTACCTTTTCACTGCATATGTCAGTATACCCAGACCTGCCCTCCTTTGGCATTGACTGGTGCAAGGCCTTGGGCTGTTTTGGGTTTGTGGCTTTCACTAACAAGGCTGCAGCGAACGGGCGCACAACTCCTTGGACATTCACCTACAGAAGATGCTAAGAAGTGAAAGTATTGAGACAGAGCATGCACATTTTAAATTTTAACAGAAAATTCCAGGTTGCCCTCCCAAATGGCTGGGCCATTTCATATTACCGACATTGTCAGCAGTAGCAAATCTAATTTTTTCCCAATCTGATGAAAAAAAAAATCACCAAACAGATGTCTTGTTTTAATTTGCATTCCACTGATTACTGTCAAGATGAATATATTTTCTTATGTTTGTGGGATGTTCTTTTTTTTTTTTTTGATACTTGTATCTTAATTTCTTGTGCTTACTCTGTATTGATTTGTTATGTTTGTTTTTTATATGTTCTGCATATTAATTCTTTGTTATATACGTTGCACAGGAAAAGACTGAGATGCTCCACAGTAAGTGTTTCAAAGAGCATCAGGTTAAAAAGCTGCTGTCTGAGATGATCAGTGCATTTTCTGAGCAGTGACGTAGCCCCGTCTCCTGTCTCTGCTGTCCCAGGGAAACATCTGGGCGTCCACTCTTGGTTACACTTCTGCTCTTGTCTCCCCTCAGCTGCAGGTATTCCCCTGCGGACGTCTGGATCTCCTGCCTCCCCAGCCAACCCTCACCTCCCTGCCTCTGAGGTCAGAGGCCACCTTGAACAGTGGGTTCAAGGTAAGTACACACCAGTACTCCTTGCAAGCCTCTTCCCTTCAAACTAAGCATCCCAGACATGCAAGGGCAAAACACTGTCCATGGGTCATTAATAAATGTCATGAGCAAATAAGATTTGTGACAACATCTTGCAAAACCCTTGAACTTTCTTACGGTGGGCCTTTTTGTTTCCTTCTGAGTCTTTGCTCTGTCACCATGCATGATGACCCTCCAAGAGTGATTCTATTTCCCAAACGTATCCAGCAAGACAGGACTTTTTTCCTAGAGCCTCTCTTAAGCTCACCTCACCTCAGAGGAGGCTTTATGGCATTTGGTTGTGGTGTGTGCAACCAGGCTGCCATTTGACAGCTGTCACATGTTCTTTTTTTCCAGGCCATCCTGTGTCTTGTGTCCCTAATGCTCTGTGCGTATCTAGCATGTGTGTGGCACTGCCTGCAGTAGAAGTCCCATGATCGCTGCCCAATGATGGGGACTCTCAGGAGAAATGTGTGGAATTGGGGAAGGGCCTCCTGGCAGGGCGCTGTTTTCAAGGTTTCAGGCCTGGGATGGATGAGCTGTGTGACTCTGGAGAATCTTCTCAGCTTCCCTGTGGGGAATCGGCTTACTCCGCAGGGGGCATGATGATTCCTGATTCCCAGGAACTTGGAAGAAAATGGAACGAGATAACAGATGCACCAGCATAGAGCAGCTTCCAGGCATGTTAGGACAGTAGTGTGTGCAGTTTGGGTCTTGGCACAGTGAGAAAAGTAAGGGAAGCCCCAAATTCCCTGATGCCCCAAATCCCCTGATGCCCCAAATCCTTTCTTCTTTCAGAGAGCGCAACAGTGGCACTGTGGAAGTACTTCCGGGGGCGGGGATACAGCGGCTCTCCAAGGCCTGCCCTCAGTTTCCCGACCCTTGGTGCCGCCGCAGCCTTGGCTTCTGCACCGGGCAGCAGCCGACCACACTTGGTGGTTTTCGGAAGAGCTGTAGAGCTGGTCTCGATGCGCGCCTGCCCCATCCTGCATCACCCTGCAGGGGCCTGAGTCTCTGTCTCTGTTCCCTGGAGCCTTCTAATTCCAATTTTCTTTGTTTCCCCAGCCCTAGGCGGTGTCTTTCTCCTGAAGTTGGTTGAACTATGATGCCCCAGGGTTTTCTTACCCATTCAGTTACCTAATTATCAACTCGACTCTCAGTGAACAATTCTTTAAGTTAAATAGCTTCCGTTCACATAACTGGGTTGACTTTCTGTCCCCTGACTGGACCCTGGCTGATAGTGGACAGAAGGAAGAGTGGCAGGAAGGAAGGAAGGGAGGGAGCTAGAAGGAAGGACAGAAGCTGTCTTCTAAATCCACGTCTTGTGTGCACCCCCGAAACCCTCAGCGGCCAGTCAAGTCCAAGACTGGCTGGCTTGCACCCTGCCTGTGATAGAAACCTGAACCCTCAGTGCGTGGGGCTGCCCCACTCCCCCAGCAGGATACCCCATTTCCACAGATTAGCTGGTTAATCATGATGTGTCTCTTGTTTTCTTGTGGAAATGGCTGCTCAAGTGTGTTTCTCTTTAAGGTGATGGAAATTCATCAGTGATTCATTAAAGTGTTTGGCGATGTTGATTGCTGTTATAATGATTATTACATTGTTGTATTAGGTTATAGCTATTAACATTGTCTCTTTTATGGGAAACCGCTAATGAACCCGTCACAAGAACAGACGATACTAAGCCCATGAACTTGGTGTTGGGGGCCTGCTTGCTTCATGAGCTCAAAGGGAGACTAGGGACTTTTCTAGTGTTGGGCTCCAGAATGGGTTCTCTGAGATCCGAGAGCTTGACTCCTCTCCTCCTTTTATTCACTGTGGGCTCACTTAGCTTTCCAGTTCTCAGAGTTGCCAGCTCTGAATTAGGGAGAATAGTAGTAATAATAATACCTCCTCAAAGATTGTTGACAGATTAGATAACAGAGCATGCACATTATCTGTTTTAGGGTACCTACTATCTGTCACTGCTTCTATGAACAGATCCGGATCCAACAATTTCTTCAGCCCTGAAGCCCTTTATTCTGCCCCGAACCCAACTTTTAAGCTTATTTCTTCCAGCAGGTACTCAGTAAAACACAGAAGTGGATAGATGCCATCTTTGTGTGTCAGTGTGATCTACAACGGTGGTTGGCCCTTTGCCGGGGCTTTGTACGTGCTCACTCAGTGAACAAGTCTATTGGTAGGCCCCAGGCTTTGGGTGTCGTGAAGAGTCAAGCCTGGACCTGCAGTCTAACACTACACAGACTTGACAAGATCCTAGATAACCAGAGGTAATAAACACTAAAGTGGACTCCAATGAGAATCCCTGGGAAGCTCTTCAAATAAGATACAAATGCTCAGCCCTGTCCTGAGAGATGCTGAGTTGCTAGGTGTGGGATAGGCTCTGATGACTATATCACAGCAAGCTCCTGGGGAAACTGGGGTGCCATGTGGGTGCCCTGAGGACTACACTCTGAAAAATATTGCATTGCAAGGTCATTGTGAAGCCTCAATGCAGCCGTAAATAGACTTGCACCTGCCTGGCGCACATCATCTCCCTTCATTGATCAGGGGATCCATGCTGGTAGGATGTCTGCAGGATTTTCTGTCAAGATATTTGGGCTTAAACTTCAGACCTGCCAAAAACAACTGTGAGAGATGAGACCCATTGCTAACTTTTGGGGAATGTCACTTTTTTCCTCACCTGCACATACAGATTTGAAGGGAACCTTTTAAGAGTATCACATGAGATATTATATGAGAAAAATGCTTCATAAACCGTAAGATACCTTTCTTTTTTTAATTTTTTTAATGTTTTATTTATTTCTGAGAGAGAGAGAGAGACAGAGTGAGCAGGGGAGGGTCTGAGAGAGAGGGAGACACAGAATCTGAAACAGGCTCCAGGCTCTGAGCTGGCAGTCAGCACAGAGCCCGACGCGGGGCTTGAACCCACAAACCATGTGATCATGACCTGAGCCACTCAGACACCCCAGTAAGATACCTTTCAAATGTTAATTTTTTTAATGTTTATTTCTGAGAGTGAGACAGCATGAGAAGGGGAGGGTCAGAGAGAGAGGGAGACACAGAATCTGAAACAGGCTCTGAGCTAGCTGTCAGCACAGAGCCTGACGTGGGGCCCGAACCCACAAACCGTGAGATCATGACCTGAGCCGAAGTCAGACGCTTAACCGACTGAGCCACTCAGGCACCCCTCAAATGTTAATTATTTTTAAATTTATGGGTTCATTTTCTTTTATGATGAGTCTCCAGATCTGTATTCTTAATCCTAAATAAGAAATTATTTTTCAAAAATAAAGAATCGTTTACAAGGTGAGCTGGAATTAAGTCAGCCCAGGGGACCACTTGTGATCCACAAAGGCAGGGCTCTAAGGGGGCAGGGACTGGCCTGATCGCTCAGGTGCAGGTGCTGAGGGCAAAGCGGTGAGACTTGTCCAATCCCCAGAGCAGGCTAGGGCAAAGCAAAGTGAGGTCCTGCTTGGGGCGCTGCACAAGGCTCCTTCTGTCTCTGCTGAAGGCTCAGGTCTGGTCCCCTCCGCCACCCCCACACTCCACTCTCCATCCACACATTTTTCTTGTCCTGTCCTATACTCCACTGGCATCGAGGAGTGGGTCACACCTTTCCTGTTTCCACCTTCACGTTTCTCATTGTAATGAGAATAACCCACATTCCCAGAACTCTGACCCTGGCTACCGTCTTTGGCTTGCACAGAGCTGGTGAGGGGAAAGTCAGCACAATTCTGAGCAGATAAACTTAAGGTCACTGTGTGCCCAGTAAGCTTCTGTCCTTGATCCATGTTCTACCCTCTGCCCCTCCCTCTCATCCATGCCTAGGAGAGAGTGCTAAAGATAAGTTACTGACTTCATTGAAGTGATCAATAAATGGGAGTGAGGAGTGGAAAGAACAGACATTAATAAAGCACCTACTGTGTGCCTGGCCCTTTGACCATGTATTCCGTATCAAATTCTTCTAGACCAGTGCTGTCAGGTTGTTACTGTTCTCTTCCTCCTTGAAGCAAGTGTCTGGAATGCAGAAATGGTTGACCCTAGCATTCACTAGCACCCAGGACATGGCGAAGAGATAGCCAGGCCCTCTCCCTTTGCAAGGGAGTACATTCTACTGGAAATGGGAACACACGCAGTCTGCCAAAGGTCGCATGGCCTGCACGTGGCCTAACAAGAACGGAAACCCAGTGTGCCAGATTCAGAAGCCCAACCCTCCCATGCTCATGCACGTGGGAGAGCCAGCTCTGTGGCTGGGGACACCCTGGGCCTACGGGAACCTGTGGGGGCCTGTGTGCTCAGGGACGGCTCCTGTCTCCCTTGGTTCTTCTCTTCTCCTTCCCCCCCAACCATCTCTCAGGCTTTGCAATTGCCTCATTAAAATGCAATTGTGCGATTCATCAACATTATAGGAGAAAGCAGTTAGATAAAATACAGGGAAAAAAATGAGTATTTGCAGAGACAAGTAGTATTGAGCTTTCTACCTCATCAAGGGGCTAAATGCACGCATGTTAGCCCTATCACCCTGATGGCCAGAAATCCCAAGTGTGAAGGGTTTTTTTTTTTCTCTTCAGTCTCTTATATGATCCATGATCTTTACATTTTGCCCACCCTTGTGAAAGCTAATGGCATCATTTTCATGCACGGACACGGGCTTGCCAGCTGACAGTGGTTAGCAATTCTTATTACAAATATATCTTCTAATTCCCGAGCTAGAATTGTAAAGCTTTTCTATAGTGACACTGAACCAAAATATCGAAATTGCTCAAGCCTTTAAAGAAAGCAGCAGCAAAAGGTTGCAGAACGCCTTTTAAGTAATGCTGCAGCGAGGCTCTCTGGAATACAGATAGGTGCCTGCCTGAGTCTGCCTGTCACCTCAGATCACCCTGGAACTCAGACTCCAAACTTCTAGTGCCTTTGGCAGGAATTGAGCAGAGACAGAGAGAGAGAGAGACAGAGAGAGAGAGAGAGAGAGGTCTCTTTGAAAAGTAACTTCTGCACAGTTTTGATCATTGCCACTGTCTGAACATGGAGAAGCCTCTTTGCGGTTTGGAATGGAAATGATAAAACAGGATGTGCATGTCAGATACAACCTGTAGGCTTATCCTTTGAAGGCATTCCCCTTCCCGTTCCAGGGCCACATCCACTTTGGCTTTTTCTTCACTATGTAATTCCCTGTCCTTATTCCTAATGAAGACATCCTTCACTTCCTCCCTCCTACCCCAAGCTCCCTCTGGGCTCCCACCACCCTCTTCTTTCTCTCCATCACAGCTGGCTAAGCAGGTGTGGATAAGGGAAACGTTCTGGCTTTGAAGTCAGTCTGGACTTCCATCTTGGACTTAAGATTTAGGGCAAGACATTTAACCTCTCAAAGCCCTCCTTTCTTCACCATATATGCTTAATGATATTTGTTTTGTGGAATTGTTTTGTGGATTGAAGGAGTTCGTGTTAGCATCAGCTTGAAAGATGGATATAATCTGCATTTGTATGGCTTTCATCATGGATGATTTTTGGTGGCACTCTTCCTCAGAAGATGGGGCTCCTTGAGGGGTCAAGGGGGTCCACGGCACTCATGATGCTGCTAGGCCCCCACTTTCTTCCGATTGTGTGGTGCCACGGACCCCTGTGCATTGGCTACTCTCTGCGGGCAGGCTGTCTGTCTCTGTACGTTGGGAAGATGGAAGGAGACTAGCCTGAAGCAGAATTGCACCCTCACGGCTTAGCATTCCACGGGGACAGGCTGCGTGGGATGGAGGCCTCCTTCTTCCCTGAGATCCATATATTTGTTAGTCTCAAGGAGGGCTGGATGGCATGCTTGGGTCCCATTTCCGCCTCTGGTTCACATGTGGGAAGGCGGATAGTACATGCCAGACTGTTAACTCCTGCTGCCTCCACTGTGTAGTAGGGTGAGCAGTATGAATGCCAGTCCCCCCAAGACCATGAGACCAGGGTCAAGGTCATCCAACAGAAATGGACAGGGGACACCAGAAAAGGGGAAGGATCCTTGGGAAGTCCAAACCAACAGATGTGCATTGCAAGGCCAAACATTGCTTAATAACTGAATTAATAGACAAACAAAAGGTGCTTTTGTTGTTATTGTTGTGTTGTGTTTTGTCTTGTTTTGTTTTTACCAAGAGCCCTGGCCTGAGAGTAGGACAAATGGAGTTCAGATCCACATGCCTCAATTAATTTGAGTAACTTGGTACATTTAGACTTGCTTCTCTGGGCCTGATGTCCTGGACTACAGGATTTTCTGGTTGGATTAGGAGATCTCCAAGGTCCCTTCCAAATTTACATGTCTGTTATCACATGCTGCTCATTAAGAAAGGATTTTAAGTTAATTGAAACAGGGCTTTTGCAGCAGCCTCTGGAGAAAACCATATAGATATCTATAGGTTAAGTAGAAGAGAGTGTAATGACATGCTTTCCCTGGCTTAGGGGGAAGAATAATTTGGAAGATGAAAAATAAGTAAGACTGGCCGCCCTATTTGGGTTGGTGCTGTGCTCTCTTCGGGGAAGACCACAGACAGGAAGAGATGTTCTGCCCAATGACCAAGGGATGGTGAGCTTGTCAGCAGGAAGGATGGGCTGAGCTGTAGGAACGGGGAGCATACATTTGCTACCATTCTTGGGAATAGACATGGTTTGTGGGTGATTACTTAGCATTCCATTGAATGGGGAAGGGAGGTCAGGCTCAGAGAAGTGAAGGCACTTACTTGGCCTTGTTACCTGGCTGGGACTGGGGTCAGAGAGTCCCCAGCTCCACTCCTTGGGCTCCATGGAGGGTGTGAGCAGTACATGCCAGGTGCTGGCTGTAGGTGGGGATGAGGTGACCCTCACATGAAGAGCTGTGTCAGCCTGTCAGTGTTTGGGGCCAGATGAGGGTGAGCAGAGGGTCAGCTGCCCAAACTTACCAGCCTACGGGGTTGGGTTGTTGTCTGAGGTGCAGGGAGCTGGAGCCCCACCTCTCCTGCCCTCACCCCTCCTTATTCCTGCCTTCTTACCACCTGGCGCCCAGGACTCACAATGCCACAGCAGAGCCTTGCCCTGCGGGGCATGCAGTAGAACAGAGCCGTAGCCCAGGTCTCCCTGCAGGTCTGGGGACCCGGCTTGCCTTTCTCCGGCCAGCCTTGCTGACTCTTGTCATTGGCTTCTTTTGTCTTTGTCTCTGGTTCTCTTCAAATCTTTGTCTGCCACTCTGACATGTGTCCCTTTGGCTCATTTGTCCTTTGGGATTCCATTTGCTTCGCAGTTTCGCTCTGCCTGCCTC